AAAAAAAAAAAAAAACCAAAATTTTGTGGGGTCATTTGACCCCACATGACCCTATGGGGGTCCGCCCCTGGTTAATATCATTAACTTATGGATATATTATTGCAAACCATTGATTTGATTTCATTCTCTCCATTTTCATCGACAGTCCTCATTGTTGTTGCATTACCATGATGTGATCTAAAACAACAATAATAAAGGGAAAAAAAAGGCTAATTACTATTTATTTATGTACATGAATACACAATTTTATTCAATTTTATTGAGCAGCCCAGTGCGATTGTCTACCTCACTACACAAGCCAAACGGACGTGAATCTAATCCAAAGTGAAATCTAAATCACAAAATTCATCAAAACCCTCCATGTCAAAGCATTTCATTTTTGGAGACCAAACCATTAAGGGGTCCAAAGATTTCATGTCATGCCATAAGCTTGAATCTGGTGATGATTTTGTATCAGACATATCACTCCGTGCTATGTCTTCTTTAGTTTCAAAGGGAATGTTAGATCCTCCACCCACTTGGGAAGGTTTTTCTTCAAAACAATGTATATGTTAAATATTCATAAATCAGTACCGATGTCTTAATATTTACCTAGGATATTTTGCGTTGAGAATAATTTTCTGTCCATATTTCCTCCATGCACAACCATCTTCCTTCGCTGGAGAAATTGTTGTCCATGAGTCACTGGTCTTTCTGCAAATTCAATCAAACAATCTTATTAATAAATATAATAATTAATTTAATTTTTTCCCTATGAAAATGAGGTCGAATTCAAATAAAGAAAAAGAAATTGAATTTAATCCAAAATCCCGGATTTCGGACGCCCTAAAATAGGTTCGATGATAATTAGTTACATTTGGGTTACCCTAATAGTATGGCAAGAATCTACAGAAAATTTTGTTTCTTTAGGAAAGGACAAACTCGGTTTCTTGGTTTTCTGTCTGGCAACTTGCTTTAACAAAAAACGTTAAGCTTATCTCTGTCAAAGCTCATCCACTGCATTTACTTTTCTACACTAACTTTAAAAAAACGTGTATATAGCTTCCTTTTGTAATTTCAGCTGCAATAATTATGGTGGTTGCCATTTTAATCCACCTTGTCTGTGAAAACATAAATTCTAAGAGATGGATTTAACAAAAAACGTTAAGCTTATCTCTGTCAAAGCTCATCCACTGCATTTACTTTTCTACACTAACTTTAAAAAAACGTGTATATAGCTTCCTTTTGTAATTTCAGCTGCAATAATTATGGTGGTTGCCATTTTAATCCACCTTGTCTGTGAAAACATAAATTCTAAGAGATGGATTTAACAAAAAACGTTAAGCTTATCTCTGTCAAAGCTCATCCACTGCATTTACTTTTCTACACTAACTTTAAAAAAACGTGTATATAGCTTCCTTTTGTAATTTCAGCTGCAATAATTATGGTGGTTGCCGTTTTAATCCACCTTGTCTGTGAAAACATAAATTCTAAGAGATGGATCAAAATTTGAACTCCAGATCTTTGTTACTGGACTTCGATAATTTGTGGTACCATTTTATCTAAACAATTAAATTAATAAATCTGCGGTTCGTCAACTCTAAATAGCCACAAGAAATTTGTCGATTTCTCAATTTTGGGCCTTAAAAAATTATTTTCCGAATACTTTTAAGAAAAAGAGTATCCCAGATATTTGTATAGCAAGAAAACAAATCAAATAACAATACGACCTTCTCTTGTAGCAGCCCCTCCGATCCTTGACTCTTGGCCTCTTATTATTCTCACCTGAACAGTATGAGCCGCCGAGGTCACCGCCGGCTGTCAGGGATCTCTTATTCGCACCGCCACCATAATTGAGCATAGAAAGAATCTCAGTGAAAGATCTAAAGACTTTGACAGAAAGTTCCTTAGCTAAAACTGATCTATGATCATTAACAGGCTTCTGCAGTAGGGTTTTGAGTTGGGTTGCAGTTTCTTTTCCTCTCACTAACTCTCCCATCACCATTTTCCTTTTTCTAAGCAGATCTTCATAACTCAAACTGCTCATTGTGTTCAATCGGACAGTGTCTGTGGAGAGAGAAACTGAGTGTGTTTTGTGTGTGTGTGTGTGAGAGAGAGAGAGAGAGAGATGGAGGATAAGGGTTGAAGTTTAATGGAGCAGACAGGAAAAACCATTTGCATTTTTTGAGCATAAAGCCTAAATTTGTGACATAATCATGAAAAGTTGCTGATGACGTACTCCACCCAAATAGATCTATATATTAAAGTCTGGTTTGATAGAAATGATAATTTAATTTTTTATCAAAATCAAGGCTCATAATTAATTTTAATTACATATTTTATGAGATTCAAAACTTTTTTAATCACATATTTCATTAACTTTTATTGATTTTTTTTTAATCTCCATCAAACGTGGGCTAATTCAATTTCCCCTCCAATGGAGCCGTTTTCTAGATTTCTTAGAAGTATGCCCATGTTTAGTGATCATTATTTCTAATAAATAATGTTTTGAATGGTAATTTTTAGGCGATATCTGATTAAAAAGTAGATTTTTTTTTTGAATTTACGTGTACAATATTTTATTATATGAATGTATTGTTAAAAATAAGTGTATAAAAAATGGGGTTTGAAAATAATGACCACCAAATAGGACTAAATTCTCAATTTGGCGTTTTAAAATATGAAAATTCCATAATTGGTCCTGATAGATAGCCCTAGAAGCAAGTTGCTAGGTATTTATCACTCCAGTAGCAAGTAAGTTCAAACAACTCTCTACGTTTATGCAAAATGCGATGACTCACTTATCTTGGAGGAGACAACTACTTGATCTTATGATAGCCCTCACACATGGAATTGGTTGGTAGGGCACAGTTGGTTCAAAGCTTGAGCTACCTTTAATTAAGTTGAAGTCATATAATCAATTG